CTGTTGGGGCACCACGCCTTGTTCCCAATGTCCACCCTCGTCATTCCCTGGGGATCTTGCTGCTCCCCTCCCCTGCTGTTCCACTGCACTCCCCCCAAAACAATTATTTTAAAAAGAAAAGAAACATAGATGGTGAGACTGTATCTCACATTCTTGGACATGTTATCCGGAGAGATCAGTCCCTGGAGGAAGACCATCATGCTCGGTAGAGTAGGTGATCAGAGAAATAAGGACGGCCCCCACAAAATGAGCTGACCCTGGAGATACCACAAAGCGTTCAGACAGAGTAGCAATAAAGAGAGGGGGCAGGCCCGGGCATTACTTGGTGTCTGACTTGAAAGCACCTGTACAATAAAGGAAATAAGGATAATTCAGTGTAGTCCTTGAAAAAGACATCTTGGACCATAGTTTTGTACCACTGATTAATCTGTGCAGGTTCTATAATCAAGATTTGAACAAAATGGACATATAAGTTTGTGTTTAAAGACATTATCTACTGGGTGATTATTACAGGGATACTACTGTGCTAAACTTTGAGTTTGTTTGTTTTTTAATCATGAAGTCTTAGAAATACCAAAATTTAAATAGAACTACTCTATGAGCTCTAACTTTGAATAAACAAAGTCTATGAACAACCAATAAAACAAAACACCATTTCAATATCAATTTTCAAGATAATATGGGATCCTCCAATTGAAATAAGCCTTATTTAATATTTTAAGTCAGTCACCCATAATAGCTTATCTGTTACAGATGCTTAAAAATAGCAAGGGTTCGGGGTTGTTTCTAGAGTGAGTCTGGAATTACTAGGATCCAATCCAGGAGACATTGGACAGTGTAAGATAGGACAAAATAATAATTTATAAAATATGAAGGTTTCATGAAGGAGGGGGGAGCGGGGAGGGAGGGGGAAAATTGAGGAGCTGATACCAAGGGCTCAAGCAGAAAGCAAATGTTGTGAGAATGATGATGGCAACAAATGTACAAATGTGCTTGACACAATGGATGGATGGATTGTGATAAGAGTTGTACGAGCCACAATAAAATGATTTTAAAAAAAAGAGACCAGAATAAGCGAGCAAACAGCAACTTTTCTCTCTCTCTTCTCTCTCTCTCTCATTCACTCAACCTCTATCTCTGTCTCTCTCTCCACAACAAATTCCTGAGACTTACCACAATTAAGTTGGCTAAGGGAATTAGAAGGCGAATCCAGAACTATTTAGATTAAATCATCACTTAACGATTTCTTAAAAGGGAACCTCACCTCTTAAACTACCTGTTTAAAAAAAAAACATGAAAGCTAATTGATGTCACAAAATATCAAACCATCATGTGTACGATAAATTATTTTAAAAGCCCATCTTTAACTGTGAATGATGAAACGGAATAGAAATGACCAACATTATCACCTACTGGAAGGACAAAAGAAACTACTTTGCTCATTTGTGTACCATCTGTATTTCGTACCCACTTTATTCATAAAATATCTACCATTTTAATGTATTACTAGACAATAATCTTCTTAAGGGCAGGGATGCGCTACTCATTTTCTTATCTCCAGTACCTAGGTTTATGTATAACACATCCCTCTCCCCATTGCTTTTGAGTCAATTCTGACTCTTAGTGACCCTATAGGATAGAGGAGAACTGCCCCATAGGGTTTCCATAGGGTTTCCTTGTATGACACATACTGGCTATTTAATGACCCATCCTACTATGTTAGTAATTCATCGAATAGTATAATGTAAATAATAATGTGCTGCAGTGAAAACGATGATGACTTTCTGTATCAGGATTACCAAAAACAGATGTAGCTAGAGCTACTACAGAGCTTATTTGGTCAGTAGAGCTTTAAAAGCCATTCATCTTTATGTATGTCAACAGCATGAGTTATATATACATACACTTCCTTTTGCCTATAGATAGAACAAGAAGAAAATAAACAAAGCAAAGAACAAAAACAAAAACCTACAACTGTTTCCTCTCATAAAACAATTCCTATCCTCCTTAAAAAAATAAATCAACACAGAGATAAATGTATTCATTTTTAAGGTGATTTAAAACTCTAACCAAAGCTAGATATTTTTCATCTGTTTATATTTCACATTGCAAGAGTCACAAATCCCGACTTCTAACTCTGGAACTCAAGAACGCTTGTGTTTCACTAACCAGAGAGTTGTCTATTATGTAGTAATATCTCCATCTGGTGGAACTTTAGGTGTCTGTTAATACCATGATCCTGGAACCAGTAAAAATACAAGTTTTTTATTTACTGGTGTGTGTGTGTGTGTGTGTGTGTGTATGTGTGTGAGTGGGGCTAATATTAATTATTCCCTTTAATTTCATCTCAGATAATAGCTGTATGTTAGAGATGGGTTAGACCCGGGCTTAATAGGAAAATCATGAAGGATTAAGCAACTGAAGAGCTCACAACCTAGTGGGAAAGATAGCTAAATAACCACTTAAGGAAAGAATAATAGGCCTATTTTATGAATTCTGAGTTTGAGACAGATGGAACCATAGAGAGGCGTGTGAAAGCCTACAAGTATAGACATTTCCTGACAAAGAATATATGTCTTAAGGACCAGCAGCAATTCTGTTTCTATATCCAACCAAAAGTTAAAGTGTGGGAAACGGGTAATACTGGGATGCATTCAGACCTCAACATTTAACACTCACTGCCACCAAGTCAAATCTGACACAGAGCCAACATTCAGAATATGGCTGTTAAATGCGACAATGGTCTACTGGGCACATAGACGGCACTGGCATCTGCCTGGGAACAAAAGATGGCCAAATCTTCATGTAAGACACCACCTTTTACAAAAGCAAGAAAAACTGATAATGAAAATACCTTATGACTTAAATAATATAGCACACACATTACCTTTAAATAAGATCCATAGTATTTTGTTACATATGCGCTGTCACACTGACTCAAAACAGTTATTTCTTGCTGAATGTCTTCAATTTCATCTTCGGCTTCCTCGAGATCTATGATTTTAATAGCAACCACTTGCTGGGTACGGTTATCAATTCCTTTGAAAACTTCTCCAAAGGAGCCTTTCCCAATGCGCTCTAATTTTGTGAACAGTTCTTCTGGGTCGGCTATGATATTCTGTGGGGGGGGG